CAGGTGTGTCTGTCTCTAAATAGAGTGATAGAAAGCATGCATTTTGGTGTGAGCTCTGCTCTCCACATAGATCTTGGTCCAGCCAGCCCACTAACCCTGGTGTCTTCGTGTGAAATGACACTAACAATAATAACCAATGGTAAGATCTTCTTGTATGTAATAGGTGAGATAATTCCTGTGATGTACTCAATACAGTATCTGTTACATCTTAGTAAATATTAGTTACTATGATTAATTGTTAGGTTTAGGTGCAGTGGCTCACATCTGTAATCCTAACACTTTGGGAGGCTGATGAGGGGAGATCACTTGCGGCCAAGAGTTTAAGACCAGCCTGGCCAACATGGCGAAACCCTGCCTGTACTAAAAATACAAAAATTAGTTGGAGTGGTAGTGTGCACCTGTGATCCCAGATAATATGGAGGCCGAGGCACAAGAATCGCTTGAACCCAGGAGGCAGAGGTTGCAGTGAGCTGAGCTCACACCACTGCACTCCAGCCTGGGCGACAGAGTGAGACCCTGTCTCAAAAAAGAAAAAGAAAACATTATTGTTAGACTGCACTGCTTCTCTTGAGTATCGCTCCTCTACTCCTCAATGCCTTTCCAGAAAGGACAAGTAAATGTGAGAAGATGGGGGGTAAAAAATGCTCAGGCAGAATGAATGTGTACATGACTGTCCAGCTCATTCTGATCTCTCTGGTCTATCTTTGATCCTTGGACACAGACTTGGTGGTTGGAACACAGTTGATCAAATCTAAGTGATCTAAACAGAAACAATCAGGTTCTTCCTCCTGAGAATTTAAATTTGGGACTAGAAAAATCTTGCATATTTCTGGAACTATTATATGTAAACCCGAAAACAATGGGATGGTCATATGCCACCTTGTTAACTGGGAGGCAAAGGTAGACAGTCTGCATAGAGAGAGAGAGAGGATGAAAGCAGTCGATAGAGGAAGGCAGGAACAAGAGAAAGTTCACTGCCTAAATCCCTTCTTCCCAAGACCTAGCCATAATCCTTTCCTTGGGTTTCACTTCCATTTCCTGCTTGTTGTTTTAGCTGGCTCCAGGAGTGCCACCTATTGCCGTGGTGGCTGTGGCCCTACAACCTTTTTACTCAGCTCTCATCATGCAAGAGTCCAAATTTCAAAATCTCTTTGAGTCATAGGCTTGCTTGTTCAGGAAAGAAGACAATGAAGCTGCGTACCCAAGCACTTAAGCCAACCTGTGACTGGATTGAGGCTGAATGATAAACTTATTTCAGATGATTTGGACTTTAAGGAAACAAAATTATATAAAATACTGCCACCTAAGATTTCAAGGGTTCCAGCCAGGCATAGTGGCTCCTGTCTGTAACCTCAGGACATTGGGAAGCCAAGGCAGGCAGACAGCTTGAGCCCAGGAGTTCAAGACCAGCCTAGGCAACATGTCAAAACCCTGTCTCTACAAAATATACAAAAAATGAGCCGCACATGGTGGCATGTGACTGTAGTCCCAGATACTCGTGAGGCTAAGGTGGGAAGATCACTTAATCCCAGGAGATTGAGGCTGCAGTGAGCCAAGAGTGTGCCACTTTACTCTGGCATGGGTGAGAGAGTGAGACCTTGTCTTTAAAAAAAAAACAAGAAACAAACAAACAAAAACAAAACAACAGATTTCAGGGATTCCAATTTGACTCCAAGACACTGAGCCATATCCATCACTTAGAGCCAGTCATGACTAATGCAGGCAAGATAGCAAGGGTTGCACAGGGGAGTAAAGAACCACCTGGGAGAAAACTCAGCCTAAGGGAAGAGGGTATTATAGTCTTGGTGCAAAAATAAAGCCTTAGTCATCAAAGGGGAGGCACAAACCCTAGCTCAGTATTGTATCTCCCAGCCCAGTTCCCCATAGCATCTCCTCTGAATCCCGTGGAGCAATACAAAGGTATGTATGGAGGCAGAGGGATGTTGTGACAAAAACCAATCAAGCTAAGACTCTCTAAGAGATGGCAATACTAGCAGTTTGGTAGCCATATGAAACATAGATCATGAGAAAGAAACATTCATTCTACCCACCACTGCAAGCAACCCATATGACCTTAACACCTCTTGGCTGTGGTGTCTAGTGGGAGACTGCAGTATCCAGCAAAAATAGTTCACCAGGGAGCTTTGACAGAACAAGGTAAAAGCCATGTAGAAACCCAGAGGACACAGTGTCTGTTACACAGACAGTAACCTCTGTGGGCTCTTGGAAATAATTGGGAAATTGAAGACTTTAAAAATAATACCAGAAGTACTGCAAGATCAATTAAGGGTGGTGGGAGGTGGGAACAGTTAAGCACAGGTTAGAAATGGCAATAACTCATGGGACATAAATGTGCACTTGGGCAACCACAAAGATTGAGACCAGATGACCTGAAAGAATTTAATAAGGCTGAAAACTCAGGCCAATGATGTGAAGTACAGATGGCTGCTGAATTGCCGAACTGAGAGTCATCGAACCTCTTTTCCCTTAATGCAAATGGTAACCTCGATGATACAAAGAAGTTTCTCCTATCCTATTTGAATATCGCGTACACATTCTCATTAGTGACTCAGGGAGCAGAGAGGATGCCAGCCAGCATCGAAGAAAAACAAGACGCCTCTTGAATTTTATTGGTATCAAGAATGGTCACCAGTATAGCATTAACTCTTTGATATCTGACAGGGCATCAGATACCCCAGGTATGCAGAAGTATGAGGGTATCCTTTTCATAAAAGGGAAGCAGATTCTTGGTGAGGCCACTGTGGCAAAGTGGGATTTTGTGGTCACACGACTTGGAATCAAAGAGGCCAAACCTCAAATTTTGGTTGTACCATTTACCAACGCCATGTGACTTTGAGCAGCTTAATTCACTTCTCTGATCTCCAATTACTCTTTCTGCAAAACTGGATGATATGTAAGGGACATAGTTACCTGAAGTAACTTTTACTTTTCCTGTTACTAACTGGGTTAGGTTGTAAGTCTTTTAACTCTATTGTTACTTTCTTTCCTGTTCCTTCTTTCAAAATTCAAATGCCCAGGGAACAAGACAGGAAACCTAAGGAAGTGTGGGGCCAGGTGGGGACTGGGGCACACAGGACCACACCTGCCCCACCTGAAGAGGTGTACTTAGATCCAGCCTACTCTTGCCCATAGAAATGCTAGCCCAGGATTATCAGGTGTGATTTTTCAAGGGAAGCCAGAAATCTGGAATTTCATGTGAAGTCTTATTATAAATGCTGCATCTGATTCAAATTTTTAACAAATATATTAAAAGGCAAATCCATAACAGGTTTCAATCAAGCCATGGCAGCTGGCATGCATCTTCTGGCTCTGTTTTGAGGAAGGAGATAACCATGAGATTCCAGCCTCTACCTCTCCTCACAAACCAGCTCAAACTTTCAAAGGCATTGCTGCCTCCCCTCAACAGAGAAGCTCATACTGAAGGAGAAGGGAAGACATGATTCAGGGATGGTTTCTGTGGCTCTCTAAGGGGGCTCCTCATTATCCACATTGGATCAAGGGCTACCATGTCCCACCTGCAGCTCTCAGAAGTCCCAGGGGATAACACCTTCCTAGCTCTCATGTTCCCACACTAGGGCTCAGGTGCTATGAGGCTGACATCCTCCCATACATGAGATTTCATGTTCTAGGATGTGTTCTAACCTCCTGATTCTCCTTTGAGTGGCCCCACTGCTCCAGGAAGAATTGGGCGATTGAGACACCCTTTAATACCCTTTATGCAAAGCCAAGGGATTGTATTTACAAAACTTGTTGGAGGACTGATTGATTTTGATATCATCTTTCAGGCTGCTGAGGCTCATATGAGAAACAAATTATCTTGAGAATCAGGTAAAGGAGGAAATGTCACTGGGAGAGACAACCACAAACAAATGCAGATGGAGGTCCCTCGAGAGAAACACTGGCAGCAGAGGAAGTCAACACATTATAAGAAAGTCATGGCCTCGGTGGATTAAAAGGCTATCAAATTCCCAAAGAACATGATGATAGTTAAACTCTAGTCCAGCAGAGAGGGAGTGCTCTTCCAAGGATTTCTTCTTCAAAAATCAGACAGTTTTTAAATCTTCTATGGCTAGCATTGCAAGCAAAGTGAAAGGAGAAAACTCACACGTGTTAAACACCTACTGTATTCCATGTGTGATGATTTATATATATTCTTTAGCTATCAGACATGGCACAAGTTACTTATTCACACTGAAGCTCAATTTGCATCTGTAAAAATAAGAACCTATAGTACTTACCTTGTAGGCTAATTTTAGAAAATAAGACCAAGCATGGGAAAACCCTTGGTACCATGCCTGGAAATATTAAGTATTCAGTAGACCATTGCTGTCATTATCTTCTTACCTTAATAATTCCTCACAACAACCCAGGGGCATTATGTGTATTTCATGATGAAAAGTTAAATTCAGAGAACTTACTTATCCAAATTGCTTGCCCAAATTCTTCTAGCTATTAACTCAAAGAGCCTAGATTCAAATCTGGATTTGCTCTTTGTTTTTTAATTTTTGACAATTTTTCCCCTAGTTTAGTGATACTAGCAAGCCTGTGTTCTAAAACATTTTAACCAGAGTTATTTTTCTTTTCAAGCAAAATTAAATGAGCAATGTTCAATACTGGCCTAAACCCTCCCAAGCTTTGTGGTTCATTGTCAATGCCTTATTCTCCACCATCCCTAACAACTTCACCCAGCTGATACCCAGAGCCAGACCCTGCACCACCAGTGTCCTCTCTGCCATGGATCTTGGCTTTGGGGTGTCCATTCTAGGCCAGTTCACTGTCATCTAATGCAAGATAACTTCTCGGCTGGGTTTGCATCCCTGTGCTGGGTTCCCACTTCCCACTCTCTGGCTACTCCATTCCTCAACTGTGTCACATATATCCCATTTTGTTGGCTCCTCCATCCTGGCTTCTGCTTTAGTGTCTCTGTCTTGAACTTCCAACATGGCATAAAACTATTTCTTCTTTTTTTTCCCATTCCTAAGACCCACCAGTCTTCCCTGCTCATTCTTGATCAGGATGAGACTGATATCCTATGAAATGCAACAGAATCAGCTCCTGGAATTGTGTTAGCAGAATGACAGGAGTATGAGATCCACCACATGGCAGGGCGCCCCAGGAACCTGCTTTCTTCTTGAAGAGCAACTGAAAACTATTTCCAAATTATCCTTCATTTTGAGGTCTAAACCATATGTTTGTCAATTTTAATACTAGAGTCTAGCATTTAATTAATAATAGCTTGCTTTGTGAAAGAAAGGAAGATAAAGTGAAAAAAAATCTCAGTATTAAGACAGACAACCTGGTTTCAGAAATACAAAGAAGTGGTTTTCTCTCTCTCTCTCTCTCTCTCTCTCTCTCTCTGTGTGTGTGTGTGTGTGTGTGTGTGTGTGTGTGTGTGTGTGTGTTTTAAAGGAGCAGTGTTGGCAATATGTGTGTTAGGATAAAGAAAGTGTATTATTACTACAGTTTGATGAAGTTTACATTTTACTCAGGGTGAATCTTAAAGGAAAGGGTTTATTTCTGAGTGAATGAAAGCAAAGTCTCTGTTATCATTCATTAATGGAATGGCAGGTTAGGTCCTGCAAGAATTGCAGAGGACACAGACCTGAGAAAGCCACAGAGATGGCTTCCTGGAGAACTCACTGTCCATAGTAGAAGATAAACTCACATATGGAAAATATCACCATAATGCGTTAAGAAGGGGCCTGAGCCCTTGACCCAGCCTGGAGTCTCAGAGATGCTTTCTTCAAGGCACTACCACTTGAAGTAGCTATTGAAGGATAACAAATATGATGACATTTACTGAAGACTTATTAAGTGGTAGGCACTGCCATAAGTGCTTTCCACCATTACCATTTGATCCTAACAACTGTTTAATGAGATGAGAATTATCACTATACCTATTTCCAGATGAGGAAACTGAGGCACAGAAAGCTTAAGTAACATGCCCAAAGTCACCCAGCTAGGAAGTAGCAGAGGCAGGACACAAACATAGGAAGTCTGAGGATTTGAAATTGATCAGAAAGGGACAGGAGTAAAGACAACATGAGCAAAGACACAGAAGAATAAAGCAACACTGATGTGAGTGGAACTGTGAGAGTTACACAGTAGACACTATGGCCATGCCCACCTCCCTTAGCTGGTTCCAGAAAATTCTTCTTGCACTCTTGACCTGAAAGCTTTTCTCTAAACTAAGGCAGGCTGCTCAGCCTTTGCATGGAAGGTTAGATGTGCTGGTAATTAGCACATTAGCACATTAGGGTGTGCTGATGGGATTTGATGTATAAACACCCCAGCTCCCCTGCTCTAAAGGCAGATAATTCTGAAACATGGGTTTTACATTGTTTCTCAACATTGCCCTTCGAGATTAAGCCCGTTGACAGCTGGCTTGATAACATACCTTAATAAGCCACCTCCCTTACTGGTCTTTCCTGTACTTTCCAAATATAAACATCTTAAACTTGAACCCTTGTCACTGTGTCAGCTTTTGGAGGAACACAAGCTAATACAAATGTACTGTACTGTTGCTAAAATATAAAGTAGGAAACTGAAGAGGCATAGCAAAGTCAGTAAAGCCCAAAGTCTGCCATCAATGCACAGACAGACACTCATTACCTGTCCAGGACTGTGTATGTTTATGAACACAGAGGACATATGATGCATGTATGATATCACTTCAGGGAGTCTTTAGCAGATCATCTGTCTGTCCCATCTCCACTTTACAAATGATCTACCTGAGACCTCGAGTGGGACATGATGTGTCCAGGGTCCCTAAGCTGGTTAGTTGTAAAGCTCAGATTAGTGGTTCCCTATACACTAATAGTGAGATTCCTATTCACTGAAGCAAACTAGAGAGATGTTTAGAATAATCTTTGCACCAACTCCAACAACTTTATCAAACTCATGAAAACTAAGATGTTGAGAAAGGCATTTTCAGGCTCTTTCTCTAAAACCAGCAGAGTTGGCCAGGGCCTGCAGTGCAGAGAAACAGAGAACTATGCTATGATTTGCAAATAAACCTGAGTATTGATTCACTAGTCACTTGGTCAACCTAGTCAGTTTACTTCCAGAAAGTGATGGTAGAAAAATAACAGAGATGTACATGTATGTGCACAATACACCATTGTGTAAAATAGCAAAACAATAGAAACCACCTTAGTACCCATCAGTAGTGCAGTACCCAATGTCACAAATAAAATAAGAGCCTTCCTAGGAAGGTACCCACACTAACCTATGTGGGAAAAAAAAGCAAGCTGTAACTGCATATATACATATAGTACAATCCCCTTTTTGCTTAAAAAAGAAAAGCTTGTGGGGTGGAGGCAGCAAATCACACTGCTATGTATGTATGAGATCTCAGCATATGTATGCAACAATCCTGCATGTTCTGCACATGTACCCCAGAACCTAAAGTGTAATAAAATATATATATTTAAAAAAAGAAAGAAAGAAGCTTATGCGTAGAGAGATTTTTGCTTTATAAGCATGAGAACATTATGGAAAGAGACTCACCAAACTGTGAACAGTTTGTGGTATAATTTTTGGAATATTAACTTGTGTTTGTCCTCCCAGTGTTTCTTCTCCTCCTCCCCTATAAGCAGATGGTCAGGCCTTTTTGTGGCCTCTTGCCACAAGGGAGATGTTTGTCACAGGGCCAGAAGCCAAAGTTGTCTGCAAGACACTTCCGATTCTGGTCTTGAATTTTATAAAATCTAAACCCATTGAGGAGAGTATGCTTGGTGTCCTGGAGGAACTGGAGAGAGAAGGGAAGGTGTTTGGAATGTACGTGCAATCCTAGTCTTAGTTCTGGAGCACTCTGAAGAGGAAGAAGACTGTAGGCAGGCTGGGCTAGGGAGATGGGAATTCCAAAGCCTCACCGAAGATTCTCCTGACTTTAAAAGCGGCAGCAAAGGAGCCAGAACCAGAAGAGACCATGTAGTCTGAGACCACAGATATCTCTGAAGTTAACATTGTAGACTAAGTTCAGTGGCTGAAGAGATCTCATTAGAGTTTGGTGGTATGTAAAACCTTGAGACCTTTGACTATCCGTGAGCGTGAGACTGAATTCCTAATTACTTAATAGGATAAAGAGAATTGCTACAGGCTCAGAATTAATTTTATGTAAAAAGTGCTATTTTTTTTTTGGCACATCTGAGTTTGTGGAATAAGATTCATATTTACTACAAGTAATGGAATTGGGATTCACAGGGGAGAATGTCACTTATCACATGAATGTGATTTTCTGATGGTAGGATTATGCATAGTTTCAGGTTTTCTGTTTTTTCCCACCTCCTTTCCCCTCAGTATTTTTTAAAATAACATGTGGCATTTTGTTTAATCATTTTTTGTGTTTCAAACAGGGTCTCACTCCTGTCCATGGAGGGTAGAGTGCAGTAATGCAATCTCAGCTCACTGTAGCCTTGGCTTCCTGAGCTCAGGTGATCTTCCCACCTCAGCCTCCCAAGTAGCTGGAACTCCAGGCATGTGCCACCATGTCTGGCTAAAATTTTGTATTTTAATTAAAGGCAGGGTCTCACCATACCCAGACTGGTCTCAAACTACTGGACCTACCCACCTCAGTATCCCAAAGTGCTAGAGTTACAGGCATGTGCCACCATGCCTAGCCTAATCACATTGTTTGTAATGTTCATTAAGATATCCCACCCTCTCAGTCTGGTGACAGCCTCTCAAGAGGGACAGAATCAGTTGCAAAAGTACCATTTCTGACCCTGAGACATGGATATTGTTTATTCATTTATATATCACCTGAAAAAGTCCACTCACTTAAACGGTCTGTGATGCTTGCATAAACAGAAATGCTTACCCTCCTGGGTCTTGAATTTCTGGTTCTCTGAGAGTCTTTTGAAATTCTCCTTTCTCAGAAAGGAGCCCTCTTTCTATTTCCCCTCAAAGTTGTGACTTGACCCTCACATCCCTTTATTCTCCAGGGCTCCTTGATGAGATTGTTTTAAAATTTCTTTGGAGGGCATCCCTTTTAGGAAGAGCAAATCCCTTTTGGGATGAATACAAAAGATAGAGGGTATGATGATAGCTGGGACAGCTGCACAGTCTGGAGTGGTCTCTGCTGTAGAGTACTACAGAAAAGATGACTCAGTGTTTAAAAAATGCAATAATTCTAAGCCCCCTGCATGGAAAAAATAAAAAGAAGGAGAGGCTCTTTTCTACACATCAGTTATTGGGTCCTACCAATTCATCCAGTCTTAGTACCCACTGCTCTCTAACACACAGTCTCCTGACTCTGAGGTTCTCTCTCTCCATTGCCCCTGTCAAAGGCACAGGTCCCGTCTCCTGGTCTTTGTAGAAGCTGCTTCCTCTTCCTGATGGACCACCTGCATTGTACTCCTCATAGACTATCCTATCTATCTCTCCATGATTCTACTTCCTCCTGGCGATAGTCACCTTCTCTGAATCCAGATGTTATATATACACATGTGTAGTCAAGAGGGAGAGGAGAGACAGAGAGAAAATAAGAGAGAGAGAGATTTTAGGGAATTGGCTTATTGGTTCAGTTATGGGGAACAGCCTGTCCAAAATCTGTAGAGCAAGCTGGTGGTCTGAAAATTCAGATGAGTTGATGTTCCAGTCAGCGTTGAGTCCACAATCTGCAGGTCAGGCCAAGCTGGAAATTCCACAGGGTTTCTATGCTGCAGTTTGAGGCCAATTTCTTTTTTTCTTCAGGAAACCTTACTCTTTGCTCCAAAGGCATTCAATTGATTGGACTAGGCCCACCCATAGTAGATAAAGTAATTGGCTATACCAAAAATTTACTTACTTAAATCAGTAACAGAGAAAAGAATGACATGATGAGCTCAGGCAGAGATGTATCAATTGAAAGTCTTTATATACTGCACAGTTCCTGTGACTGCGGACCTAACCATCCAGGGATAGAAAACGTGGATTTCTCATTCTTTCTGCTACAGCCTCTAGGATGCTTGAGTAGAAATGGCGTTTTTACTGAGGGTGAGTTCAACAAGGGGACAGGAAGCAGCCCTCTGCTAAGCCTGAGTTATCAACTATCATAAAGTGCCCGTAGGTGTTGATTGTTACAAGTTGTGACTGAAATGAAATTCATGATCTTTTCTGGATTTATTTAAGCCATGCTAAACATAATGGCTTAAATGGTTGGTCCAATGCTAATTTGACCAATGATTGGTCAAATAGTTGACTAAATGCTAACTGAGTCATCCTCTCTCCTCTCTGCACCCCTGCCTTGAGTAACAGACAGTTGACAGACACCACACACACACTCTGATATGAATGAATCTTTGCCACAATTAACTGAAGGCTGACCAATTAACTTAAACTCAGGTCTAAGGTATTAATCTTAGAATCTACCTTCATGGAAGCTCCTGAGGATCTGAGTCAGAGAAATGAAGGATGCCAAAAGAGGAAGCAAAAGGGACAAACGTGTCTGTCTCACAGCTTTGCCTCTACCAGTCTCTAGAGTTAACCACAATAAATAGCACTTAAAAAAGGGTCCCCACTGCAGTTGACAGTGACCACAAGACACAACCCTGCTCATAGATAGAATATCTCTGGAATGGTAGGATTGAAACATCTCTTGGCTGTTGTTGTTTTTTCCCTGAAACCTGTCATCTCTGAAAGGGATGGTATATATAATATTTTAATATTTAATATGAAACACACACAAGCAGTACTTCATCTGCCTGTATGCCTTCTATGTTCCTAGAAGTATATTTAGAATTTTAAACTGTTCCAACTATTAGACATTTTGCCAAATTTTAGTCATTGAGGAAGTTGTGTTTAAACATCTGTTGACTGCAGATGTTAAGCAGTGTGAAACAGTCTTTTAAGATGCCAAAATGCAATTAAAATCATATTTTTCCTAGTAACACATCACACTAATCAGTGAAAATTTAGAAAGATAAAACTCAATGAACAATGAATGGTAATACTTCTCTAAATAATCAGCTGTGGCTCATGGGAAGGGAGAATTAACTTTTAACTAAATTATGTTGAATCATCAATGCCAATTTTCTCAGCTCTTGAAAGTGTTCTCTTTTTTCCTTCAAGCCAGGCAATGGTCAGGTGGAGTAAAACATAGGGAAGAATGTCTTTTTGGTTCAAAGAATAAAAAAAAAAATTGGGTAACACACTTTCCTTACTTCTGGCTGGGGCACTGAACCAGAAGATGCCAGTGTTTAAAACACTAAAATGCCAGCTCTTTTCTTAAAGGCCAACATGTAGGTGATTGATTTCTGCCTGGACTGAGGATTCAGGAGAAGATGTGCGGAACACAGCCTGAACATGCCCCAACCTGGCTGACAAATTCCACCCCAAAGAGTGGAAGAAACACACCTACAACATAAGCAGAAAGTATTTTTCTTCCGTACTTTCTAGGACTTGAAGCTGCTTTGTTTTTTGGTTGCTGGGTGGGGAAGAAGGAACTATAATATAGCTTCCAGAAGAGAGAAGAGAGTTCTCTCTTGAGTGTGAATTTAGCAGTACCAAGAGGCCTCAAAATAGCTCTCTTTCCTGCTTGAAATTCTACTGTTAAGAGTTTTTCTTTAGGTTTAAAACCTTGAAAGCTCCATAATGCTCCTGAGTCAAACAATAAAGCCATTAGTAGTCAATGACTTTAATTTTTTTTTCATTTCAATTTTAGATCTAATTTTATCTGACTCCTAAAAACATGTTTTATATTTTCATGAGGACTTGGCCCATATGTGTAAACAGTTTAAACATCTTAATTTGTTGGCTGAACTAGCCCAAATTGTCAAATTTTTTTAGGCAAGAGTGGATTTCATCAAATTGGTTGACCCACCATTTCCTAAATTCATCATTGATTGATTATCTGTTATGTGCCAACTCCTGTACTAGTTCCTAGGGCTCAGAGGTGAAAATCCATAATCTCTGTTTCCAGGATTCTATCAGTATGATACGGACACAGGCATGTAAGCAGACATACCATAATGCAGTGGTAGTAGGGATACGCCTCTCTCATCTTGGCAGTGTATTGATGGCCATGTCCTCGAGTTCCCAAGTACATTGAAAAAGGTGTAATAAGGAGATGATAAATTAGCAAATAGTACTTATTTGAAGTTCTACTGTGTCTACTCCTGTGCCAGGTGTTTGGGTTGGGAATGGGTATTGGGTAAGAGGAGAATAGAAGTTAGAAAGGCAGAAAACACCAACTCAGTTGATACGATTAGGATGTTTGTCACCTCCAAATCTCATGTTGAAATGTAATCCCTAGTATTAGAGGTAGGGCCTAGTGAAAAGTATTGGATAAGGGGAGTGGATCCCTCATGAATGGCTTCATGCCATCCCCTCGGTGATGAGTGAGTTCTCGCTCTGTTAGTTTACACAAGATCTGGTTACTTAAAAGGGTGTGGCAACTCTCTCTTCTCCCTCTTAGTCCCTCTATTGTGTGTATAACATGTTGGCTTCTCTTCCCCTCTACCATGACTGTAAGCTTCCTGAAGTCCTCGCGAGAAGCAGAAACCAGCACAGTGCTTCATGTACAGCCTGCAGAACCATGAGCCAATTAAACTTCTTTCCTTTATAAAGTACACAGCTTCAGATACTTCTTTGCAGCAAAACAAAAACTGACTAACGTATCAGCCATTAAAGAGTTTACAATTTACTTAGAGGAAATAAGATGTAAGTGTAGGGAATTATTAGAAAGCAAGACAATCTACACATCTTTAAAGTATAAGCATCAAATTTTATGGACAAAGAGTATGATGTGGGTATTGAGAAAAGGACAAGTGTGATATAGGGTGGAACAGTCTCGGAAAAGTCCTCCCAAAGGATACAGATAAGAGAAAAAAATATGGAAGGATGTATATTGTAGAACTTACATTGGTAGAAGCAGAGGATCTAGGTCTTTTTTTTTTTTTTTTTTTGAGACTGAGTTTTTACTCTTGTTTCCCAGGCTGGAGTGCAATAGCATAATCTCTGCTCACTGCAACCTCCACCTCCCGGGTTCAAGAGATTCTCCTGCCTCAGCCTCCCAAGTAGCTGGGATTACAGGCACCCACCACCAGGCCTGGTTAATTTTTGTATTTTTAGTAGAGATGGGTTTCAACAGTTGGCCAGGCTAGTCTTGAAGTCCTGACCTCAGGTGATCCATCCACCTCGGCCTCCCAAAGTGCTGGGATTACAGGCATGAGCCACTGCACCTGGCCAGGCCTAGGTCTTCTAAGCAGCAGAGATGGCAGGGGTAAGTATACAGAACTGGGAGTAAAGGGATGTTACATGGGTATCATAGGAGTGAGTGCAGGGGACTTCACAATAAGAGACCAGCCAGTCTAAAGTTGAGTTTGTGTAGGATTTTTTACTCATCTATTATTGAGGGCCATGCGCTGAACTATATACTATGGATAAAGAACTAATAAATTCCTGCCATCTTGAAGTTTATAATCTAGTCCTAAAAAGAAACTTATCAGAGAGGTTTCTCTGAGCCTTAATGTGTTGGGGTCTAGGCCTTTTCATTTCATCCTTCAAATACTGTCTACTCAATGAAATTTTCGTGGCCTGTTCAGCCAAAATAATTTATAAAGGCCATAATAGCTGACATTATTAAGAGTCTCCTAGATCAGTGTACTGTACTAAGTACTTCGCATGTCTTATTCATAATAAATTAACACCTCATATTTTTCAATGTACCAGGCACCACGCTATGGTCTTCACAAAGATTACATAGTGTAATCTTTACACCAAGCTTTGCAAGGGTATCCTGCTATTATCCCCAATGTCTCTATGAGAAAACTGACACTCTGCAAGGTTAAATGATTTCCCCAAGCTTCTCTTTAACTTCATAGGGGAAGACGGAGGATGCTTAAGGGAGTGGGATGATCAACACTGTGTGCCTTCTGATGTGATACAATGTATAGCACATAGCACCACTTTTGAAGTACTGTATGCTTGCCAAAAGAAAAATTGAACATAAACTTCCAAGCTTATTGAAAATGGAGGGGACAGGAGTGGCGACTCATGTCTATAATCTCAGCACCTTGGGAAGCCAAGCAGGCAGATCACTCGAGACCAGGAGTTCAAGAACAGCCTAGCTAACATGGTGAAACCTCATCTCTACTAAAAATACAAAAATTGGCCGGGCATGAGTGGCTCATGCCTGTAATCCCAGCTACTCTGGAGGCTGAGACACAAGAATTGTTTGAGCCGGAGAGGTGGAGGCTGCAGTAAGCTGAGATCGCACCATTGCACTCCAGCCTGGGCAACAGAGCAAAAATCTATCTCAAAAAAGAAAAAAAATAGGCCAGGTGCAGTGGCTCACAGCTGTAATCCCAGCACTTTGGGAGGCCAAGGCAGGTAGATCACAAGGTCAAGAGATCGAGATCATCCTGGCCAACATGGTGAAACCCTGTCTCTACTAAAAATACAAAAGTTAGCTGGATGTGGTGGTGCATGCCTGCTATCTCAGCTACTCAGGAGGCTAAGGCAGGAGAATTGCTTGAACCCGGAAGGCAGAGGTTGCAGTGAGCCGAGAAAGCACCATTACACTCCACACTGGGCTACAAGAGTGAAACTCTGTCGATAAATGATGCCACAAAGAAGTAAATAGAAAAATTTAGAATTTTGGAGTGTAGGGACTGCAGGACAACTGACATAATTTCTTCAACATGTCAAAGATATGTGTGTTTCTGTGTGTTTATTCTATAAATATAATAAAAATATTTTTATATTTTCATATAAATGTATATTGTATATAACTGAAAATTTGTTTGGATTGTATTAATGTAAAGTTTATGGTTATGGTAATGGTTATGGTAATGTAAGGTAATGTTGGGCCTTGTTTAGTTCCTGAATTGAACAAACTAATTTTTAAAAAGATCTTTTTTTAATAAGTAGGAAAATTTGCATATAGACTGATTATTGGAGAATACCAAGGAAATATTCTCAGTTTATTTAGGTTTGATCATGGCACTGTAGTTACGGAAGAAAATGCTAATATTTTTTGCAGACATGTATGAATGTGTTGGGAAAGGACATCAAATCTGGGATTTGCTTAAAAATATTTAGCAACAATAATTACAACAGAAAAGAATAAGTAATGCAAACATGGCGAATGCTTGCTAATTGTTAAAGCTGGGTGATGACTATACAGATGATCACTGTATTTGTCTCTCAATCTTCCTGTGTTTGAAACTGTTTTAAATAAAGATCCATTTAAAATTCATGGCTTCAAAAAACCAATGAGGCTGAAAACACATTCTCTTATACCACTGAGCCCCGTTCTTTGCATATAGTAGGTACTTCATAGGTGCATTATGAGTTACTAGAATTGGAGCATGGAAAACAGCTACAGGATGAATGAAAATCACCGTGTTCTCCTAAACATATAATCACAGCAGTGTGAGTTCCAGACAGAAAACCTCTACTTTTTAAGTATGTTTATGCTGCATGTTGCTTTTTTTTGGTGGAATCTTCTCCTCTCTTTGCCTTCAAGGCTGCCTTTAATGTTAATCTTGATCAAAATTCACATAGATAAAATTTTTAATGTGAGGGAGAAGGGCCTTTACAGTGTGGTTCACCTAGTAAGTGTAACTTGCTTTACTATGGAGAGCTTTGAATACAGGCTGACATTGGCTTTGTCTCCAAAAACAGCAAACTGCAGCCACAACTTAAACACAGACATGATGAAATCAATGTTTCAAGGAGATCAGTTTCCAGCTTCTCTGCCCACCATACCTCCAAATCTGCCTTTCACAAAAGCATTTCTCTTGTACTAGGATATAGAACCACTCCTAAACCGTGACTGCAGAGGAATGAGGGCTCCCACAGGCTGAAAGACACTACCAGTACTGATCTATTGCTTTGAACATGGCCAGGCTATTTTTCCATATCAAATCCATGAGGGATAAAAAATGACGTCAGCAAACATTCTTCCGGAAACAGATTTATTAAACCAAATATGAAATTACTGGTACTTTTCCAAGGGGAAACAAGATAGAAAGCTCCTGCATATAGCCTGTTTATATTAAGATATTTGTGTCTCAATTCCAGAAGCTGGCAATTGAACTCCCAGAAATAAACTGGCACCAATTCCCATGAATGAAATGACTATGAATCATTTCATCTTTGAAAATTAAACAAAGATGTGACTTCACAGGTGATGAATTGGGTGGATATGCAATATTTCCACAAACACTCAGCCATAATACGTGCTCATATTAATGGTATGATTTGGAATCCTTTAAATATTTCTACATCTCAGTCTTATGAGAGAGAAGAAACCCAGCATGTCTGTTTAAACAAGCTTAGCAAATTATTTTTGTAGAAGTCTGTCTTTCAGTTTTTCCAATGAGGTGATGGTAGTTTCAAGGGCATAGAATGTCTCACATAGTTAGTACATTCTTTCAGAAACAAGTGTCTGCTTGTGAGTTGTCCCCTCACCTAACTGTGAAGTGAGGAGATGATCAGAATTAACCAACACTCTTTTTTTTTTCTTGTAGTGATGGAGTCTCACTATGTTGTCCAGGCTGGTCTCAAACTCCTGGCCTCAAGCAGTCCTTCCACCTCAGGCTCCCAATGTGCTGGGATTACAGGCATGAGCCACTGCACCTGGCTAACAGTCACTTCTTGACTCTCTCTTCTTTTACATATCCAGAAGCCCATTTATTCATCACTTTGAGCATATAAAGGATGCTATGACATACACTAATCATTAGCCACATGTGACTATGTAACCGTAAATTAATTAAATTTAATTTAAAATTCAGGTTCTCAGTGCACTAATCATATTTCAAGTGCTCAGTAGTCACATGTAGCTAGTGCTACCATATTGAACAGCAAGATTTAGAGCATTTTCGCTGCTCCAAAGAAAAGTGG